TGACAAAAGGAATTTTCGTCTCATAAACTCAGCTCAGTGTAAGCGTTCTAGACCTAACAGAGGCAAAGGAGATAATGGAGACAAATATCAGCAAACCTCTCAGAGTTAAGATACTGCTTAGACATTTCACATTGGTCTACTGTATAGATCCAAGCTTAAGACACTCTCCATTCACTCAACTCAACTTGTTGGGGGTTCCAGACCTATGGAGGTACTGAACTAAAACTGGTTTCAACTGGAGAGCTGATGGCCCAGGCAAAAATGAAAGGCCTTCATCACAATGCAGGGAGATGGCCGAGCAGTGACAGTCCCTGCATTAAGTGGCGTCTCCAGCTCCCATAGGACCTGCCCTCAATTGCTCAAAGAGCCTGACCTCTGACAAAGACCAATGATTTCAGCAGTAATTAATGGAACTGTCAAATTAATTAACCCAAGTCTTTGTTCACAGGGAAAAACCCCTCTAGTATCAATACTGTTGTTCACCAGTCCTTGACCAAGCCTATAGACCCAAACCTTCTCAACTGGGACACAGGGACACCACTGACTGATGGCCCTAATAAGCCCCTACCTAGTAATCTGCTGACATTTGTTAAACCTTCTCACCATAATATAATCCTTTGATGATGTGACCAGTGGACTAACAGGTCTCTAAAACCTCACACTATTTTAAATAGATACAAGCCTGCAAATACCAGCATATACCAAAGATATTTCCTATAATATTTCTCAGATATCCTTTTGAATTATGGTGATGAAACACTAGACAAATGCTGTAGGATTTCATCAAGTCATTTAATAGATGGCCCTCATTAAAACACTGGTCCCCTGTCCTTGTCTATGAAGACTCTGACTCCTGCAAATGCCCACGTATACATTTCCATACTTTCTCTTTAGAGGATTCAGAACTATTTTCTTACACCTAACACAGCTTTTATTCCATTTAGAATAATTACCCACCATCCCATTTCTGACTTTCAAGAAAAACAAGACACTTAATTGACCACAGGAGGACTCTCTCAAGGGCACCAGGCTGCACCCGCTCGGCTGCAAGCTCCCAACTTCAGCTGATGTAATCGGCTACAAGAAGCTGACTTCTATTTTTAAATTATACCCTTTTACTCTGCCTTCAAAGGGCACATATATCACACGTTGTAACTTTGCTCGTAAAATACCTCGTGTTCCCGGGTGAATCACGCTGTCAGGAGCCGCCTCAGGCTGCACACAGTCACCCAGCCTTGGCCCATTTAGATTCACCCACCACAGTCCATTATTTGGACAGAGGAGAACAGCTAAGTGTGGCCACACTCTCCAGGTATCTTTCTGATCAGGGTCATTTCCACAAGGAGCAAATGACTAGCAGGGTCTTACTTGTAGGCTGGGCTCAAGCTCTCCCCTCTCTGTTTCCACCCCCTTGTAACACAGGCTTGGTAAAAATTGTCCCACGTCAATGCTACAGCTCTGTCTTCAGCTGCTGAGCTTCTAAAGGTGCCAGAAGGAAAAACAGACTATTCACTTTGTTTGATTTTAAGTTTCATTCATCATTTCAGCTATACTCACTGTGTACTCTTTAAAAGGTTTCTTGGCATTCTGAAAACACTGAAAAAAAAATCTTGGTTGGACATGAAAACACACTTGAACTTGCTATTTATTTATTTATGCTTATTCTGCTTATTTCTAAAAATAATGAAGGGCTCTGTAATTAAAGAGTCAGAACAGTGCCTATCTTTCTGGACTACTTCCTGCTTCATTACACAGTCACCCCATGTCTCTCCTGGGTTTGTATAAAAGCTTCCTAGCAGATGTGCCAGGTTCAAGACGTGGGACCTTCCTATCCTTTTTCCACCTTAAAATCTGAGTGAGCCATTGAGATCACAAATTTGAGCATGCCCCTCCCTTTCTCAACACCCTTCCCTTCTTGCCTTCTGCTGTGCAGATGTCCTGTCTTCTCCGGCCCTGTTTTCCTATCCAGCTCCACGGTCTGGCCACCCCTGTACCCTTGCCCACCTCTCCTGTGCTGTGGTTCTAAATGCCCTGTTGCTATCTTTCCCTTAGGGCGCCTGTTCAAGTTGTGTCCGCCATAGAGTCCTGTGTTCTGTTGTTCACACTCTCAACCCAAGCTCTTCCTTCTTGCCTTTCACATCTTGCTTAGATGCCCTTTCCTCCAGGATGCCCCTTCTCAGGTGTTCTTGTGGCACTACATGTTGCCCCTAATGACCACACAAGACAGGATGGGCGATGATGATGCCTTCTTATTTACTACTGTATCTACTACTATATAATATCATTTGTCTAATGAAAAAAAAACACATGAATGAAGGAAGGCACACTAAAGACTCCAGATAGGGAGGGCCACAGTTCAGGATTCATGAAATGTGAAGGCAGGAGCTGGCACAGAGGAGCCCGAAACTCCCACTCCCACTGGTAATTCCTGAGGAGCCACCGGCAGCTGGATCGCTATCCCAGATGACTCAGAAACACCTTTAGGTAACACATTCCTGAGAGATCAATGGAGACTCTGTGTAAAACGCAGTCCCACTGGGACAAAACACTAACGATCACGCAAAGTTGGATTTCGTGCTATAAACTCAAGTGAACAGAAAACTTCACAATTTAAAGTCATCCATCAAATAGGGCAGCAACCTGTAAATCAATAATTCTGTTTCTTACTCCCACATCCATGTATGTCAATTTCCAAAAGATGGGGAGGTCAGCTGCATGTGGTGGGAATGCCAGAGAGGTCTGAGAAAACACGGCTCTGGAACTTCAAACTGGGGGCCTGGCATTCTGCCACCCAATAGAGGAGTGTGAATTTGGGGCCAGGTGCTGGGATTAGGGCTCTCAGGAGAACCAACATGGTCCCTTGTCCTGTGGAGGGTCCAGCCTAATCAAATACACACTTAAAAACAGGCTTCTTTTAAAAAACATACTTTTCCCCTAAATTCTGAGTACACCATGTTCAGCTGTTAAATTAAATCCAGCACACCAAGGATTAGGGAGTAAGCCATAGTTTTAGCTACTTCTGCATGGCAAAGGATTTTTTTAAAAAACCATATTTTCCAAAGTCAACCAATTGATGACACTAAATGGTGGGAAATGTTTCAATGTTCAAACCAAATGACGAAGGACTTGGTTTCTATTTCATTCTTACAGAGTAACCACCTTCCCCCACACCAAACAAAACCAAATAAACACAATTCCACATGAAATTCTTCTGCCTTCTAGAATATCTGTATGCTTACTTTTATTATTTGGCACAGGGGAGGGACTCAATAACTGTTAATTGAGTGAATAAATCAGAGGAGAGGAATTACCATGAAAATGCTTTCGTCCATTTTAGGTATGCTTTTCAACTTCCTTTTTTTTGTCTCTTAGGGAAAAAAATTATGCATGTTTTCTTGGATTCTGACTTTCACATCCCTTTCTGACCTTGAGTTAGTTACCTAACTGGGCATCATTGTCCTCATCTATAAAACTAAATCTGTGTGTTGATTACTGAGGGGCTAGGGGAGTAGCAGATACAAGGGTGATCAGCACTATGCCCTGCAGATAATGTTTTTTCTTTCCTTTTTTATACCTATTCCATTCCATTTTTCTCACCCTCTCCCCCAAAGTATGAAAGATAAAGCAAGTTACCAGCCTGGTTAGAAAGCCAGAAAACTTCGAAAGTAGCTTAGATTCACCCGTATCATTTCAAACTGTGACAATTTTATTTACTATCTCAAAAGCTTGATTTTTCCCTTTTAAAAGATTACTGAATTTCATAAGATCATCTCTAAAGGAGAGAGGTAATTCAATCTTGATGTTCCACGAACTCAGAAGTCTGCCTTCTAACCTCTGTGTTCAGAAAGAAAATGGATGTTGATTCCCTTCCTACGGAAGGATTCTAAATTACAAACCAAGAGGAAATTTGACTTTTAGAGGAATTTGTATCCATCTAATGTGTAGGTCAAGATCTGGTGATCATTCTTTTACACATAGAAGGTCCCTCCTTCCATTTACCCCACCTCCACATCCAGCCTCCAAAACCAGTAAGTTTTTCTATTCATAGTAGCTCTGCAAGGATGTACTTAAAAGAAAATCCAGGAATTTTAAGTAGTTATCTCTAATTACATGTGGATCATTTTAAATGAGTAAGACAGTTGACACAATATTATGTCAAGCTCAACATTT